CAGCTAAACAACTAATTGCGGACAGTCATTGCCAGTTTCCTCTTTAATTTCCTTTTCATCGCTCCTGGTCTTATAATTGTCTTCGGTCATTCCTACGCTAAGTGACCACAGTGTGTCACCTACTACGTGTAAATGACCAAATCGTGTACCTTATGTCTTCAGCTATATATTCCTTCCTTGTTCTAATCCTTCCACCTTCATGCTAAACCACCGCCCTGTGCGTTACAAGGCGCAGTCTAATACATGCCAATGGATTTCTTTCCTCCTACTCGGTTTTACTTCGAATTAACACTTCCCTTGCTAAACAGTCGCTCTGTGCTCTACAGTTCGCCATTTAATACAACTGAAAGTCCAACCGAAATAAACTATTCACTCACAACTGAACATTATTCTCCATGTTCAACGTATTTCTTATTGACATTATGCACCGTTTGTCTAGTACTCATCCATCATTATTTATTCGTTCAGTTAACTTCCTACTGTGCAGGGTGCCCGAGCTTGCTCGGTCGACCCATTGTGTATTAACTATAACCACAACGTCGCCGATCGAGCCGCTCGACCGGACCACTCGGTGCACATCAAACTCTTGACCTGCTGCCAACGCCGATCGAAGTGCCTGACCTACACCCACCGTTGATCGCACCGACCTACTTAACGTCAAACTGTTGGTACCCATGACTAGGTCGATGCTCGATGCATTCTGCTATTCAACTTGACCTCGTTTGACTTTTCGCCTACATCAACATTATTTCGTTTACTTATAATCAATTATTTGCACACTCACACTGCTCAATACTATAATTCTCCACCTTTTTATCATATTCTCTCTTTTATATTAATACGCCTCGCATTCAATATCATACCCTCTAGTTTTAGTCTTTATTAATTTTCTTTTTCCTGAGGGTACGATTCGATCCCGCTGTACTTCACTCCTTTTACCGATCTTAATATATTTCCTGATTATAGGCTTTCTCTTCTCCATTATTATTGCTTTTACTTTTGTTACTTTTACTTTACTATTCACTCCATGTCACACACTTCACTCTACTCACTTTCTTACATAATAATAATTAGGATCCTGATCATCCTTCTCGGTCTTCGTCGTCTCGGATCCTGCTCGTCCTTGATCGTCCAAAGGTCCTTTGTAGAATCCGTTCGTGGGCGAAGACTACCGACTGCGCCAGTTATAATAGGTTCGAATTGGGAATGTTGTACTTGATTTGGGAAACACTTTGACTTCACAAGATTTTGAATAAAACGCCCGGATGGTTTGAGTTCAACTTTAAGACTGACTCTGTATTTCTCTTTTGGTTGGCTTGTTGATTCTTATTCTAACATAAAATGCTGATCTAACGGAAAGTGCTTACTCTATGGATTTGAAGTGGGTCGTATAATTGGAGTAGTTTAGTAGAGTGGCTAAGCGGAGCGGATGCTATTGTTTTGATTCGTCTGCGATTCGATGCATCGGTTATTAGTAGGGCGATCGGATGGCCGCTGAAGTGTTTGCTGAGGCGGCGTGACGATCGGGTGGCCACTTAAGTGTTTGCTGAGGCTGCGATCTGGTGTCCGCTTAAGTGTTTGCTGAGGGTGCGATCGGGTGGCCGCTTAAGTGTTTGCTGTAGCGGCGGTTACAATAGTCGCGGCGGTTTTGGTGGGGGACCGCCGAGGCTAATTGTTGAGGCGGTAACTCGCGCATTAAGAGAACTTAATTATCTGCTGCGGCTGGATGACCCGACATACATTAATTCTTACAACGAAAGATTGCCCTATGCCCTGAAAGAGCTGACCCGGCTGCCCATGCATGGTGTTGGGTAGCCGCCGTTGAATCGGAGTGCATTGCGCTGGCCGAAGCTTGAGATTTTGGCAACGTCATTGTGCAATGTCCGCAGGTGTCACTGGCCTGGCATTATTTTCATGACGGCTATGCATGATCAGCTTGGGAACTTCCGTGTTGCTGGGAGGCCGTGTTTATGTTTATCTTTTTTTTTGGAAAATTTGTATGCACTGGAATGTGCATACGCATCTACATATATATAATTGGAAGTTGGAAATTATGCGAAGCCAATATGGCGATCGCATGTATACGTATGAAAAATTCGTACTTATCTTCTGAACGAAAAAAAGAATTCCACCGGTGTTATGTATGCGACTGCATTATCTCGTGAAGTGATCTCGCCCTTTGAAGTCAGTCTTCACTAAGTCGCGAGCCGATGCAGATCGAGCTGCAGCCACGGAAAATCATCAGTTTCCAGCACTCATAGACATTCTCTGTACAACTTTCCCTGTTACTATACACTATTATTGTATCACTTAAATAAATTTAATATATGCTTGCGCATACATAAAATTGGCAACGAGGATGGGATATTAATTCCTGTGCGTAAGCTTATTAAATTTTCGCAATAGAAGTGCAGGGAGAGAGAGAGAGAGAGAGTGAAACGGAATTACTGATCACGAGAGTTTACCGTACGTCCAGAATACGGTAATCATGGATAAGCGCCGAACTGTCGATCAAGCTGCAAAAAGCGCCGACGAAGAGGTAAAACAAGAGATAAGCGATAATCCATTAACTCCACGAGGGAGTCTTTCTGAGAGCGGCTGTACAGTCGAGCCGAATACGGCGCCTATATCTGATACGCAAAAAGCGGTTATCCAAACTGGCGGAGTCGCAATGGCAGGAGTTGGAACTCTGGCACCTTTTGACTTGCTAGCACCTGGGAAATGGAACGCCTACCGGGAACGCTTCGAGCTGTACCTGTTAGCAAATAGTTTTGTGGACGAGGACCGGAAGAAGGCAGCGTTTCTCACTCTAGCGGGCGCACCCATTTATGAGCTGCTAGTGTCGTTAGCATCTTCCAGGCAAGTTAGTGAATTGTAATTGTCAGATGTGTATGAAATATTAACCAGCCACTTGGCGCCCCGCCAATCTGAGATTGCTGCATTCTACCATTTTCACAAGCGTGATCAGCACCCCGACGAGTCCATCGGTAACTACATGGCAGCTTTAAGGAGTTTAGCGGTAGGGTGCAATTTCGGACAAATGTTAGATCGTGTGTTGCGGGACCGATTTGTGTGTGGCAGGCGCGATGAAGGTCTCCAGCGAAGCCTACTAGCCGACGCCGAATTGACGGTGCATCGTGCCATGGAACGAGCCGTTTCTAGTGAAGCAGCTGCCGCGAGCGCGCTGTCGATTCGAGGCGACATTGCCCGACGCCCCGTGTCCTCGAGCACCGAGTCCATCCACGGAATAGGTTCCAGTTGCGCTGGCTGTGGGGGTCGGCACTTGCGTAAGAAGTGTCCGTTTCGCAACGACACCTCTCGGAATCCGGATAGAAGGCATTCATGGCGTGCAGTGCGGTATTCGACCATTTGTTTTTATCAGAACTTGGTCGATATACGGGGCCGCCAGTGGAACTAAAGGTTGACCAGGATGTTCCGCCGGTCAGACTGCCTCCTCGTCGAATTTCTTACGCACTCATCAAGCCATATGTAGAAGAGTTAGACCGGCTCTGTTCTCAAGAATTATTGGAGCCTGTAGAGTACTCTGAGTGGGCCACTCCGACGGTCCCCATAGTCAAGAAGGATGGTTCCATTCGCATATGTTGAGATTATAAATCGACGCTTAATAGAGCGGTGCAGCCGCATTGCCATCAAATTCCTGCAATCAACACGCTCTTGGCATCGATAGAAGGAGGCTCAATTTTCGCAAAAATAGATTTGGCGCAGGCGTATCAGCAGTTGGTGGTTGACGAAAATACAGCACTGATGCAAACAATAACTACTCACAAAGGAGCATTTAAGGTAACGAGACTACAATTCGGAATCTTATCAGCCCCAGGAATATTCCAAAGCTGCATTGAAAGAATACTACAGAACATATCGGGCGTCCTTCCATATTTTGACGATATTGTAATAATGGGTAAATCAGAAGAAGAACTTGCGAGTAGGTTAAACGAAGTTCTAACCCGTATGGACCAGGCCGGATTGCGCTTGCGTAAAGAAGTTTGGAGTCTCCCCCATTGAGTTTCTTGGATTCAAAGTTGATGCTCTCGGCATTAGGCCATCAGCTCATAAAGTTAAAGCCATCCATGAGGCGCCACCCCCAAAAGAGAAAAAACAGTTACAAGCGTTTCTGGGACTGACCAATTTTTATCATTCATTCTTGCCCAAGAAGGCCACCATTGCGGAGCCATTACATAGACTGCTAGACAAGAACGTACCATGGACATGGCGTCCAGTGCACCAAAATGCATTCGCAGAACTTAAGAGCTTGATTGCATCGGATGCGGTCCTAATACACTACTCTCCAGACCGCCCACTGATCTTAACATGCGATGCGTCGCCGTACGGGTTAGGAGCAGTACTTAGCTACGAAATGGGAGACGGGACAGAAAAGCCAATTGCGTTTTACTCACGCACGCTTTCTAAAGCAGAGAGAAACTACGCGCAGATCGACAGAGAACTGTAGCGTTAGTTGCTGGAGTTAAAAATTTCATAACTATTTATACGGAAGGAAGTTCACGCTTATTACAGACCACCGCCCACTGCTGGGAATCTTTTCAACAGAAAAGCCAATTCCTCAAATTATTTCTAACATAATGATGCGTCGAGCAATATTTTTTGAGAGCGCATAAATTCAATTTGATTCATCAGCCTGGAACAAAAATTAGTAATGCGGATTTCCTAAGTCGCTGCCCAACGGCAGAAGTTCACCCCCGAGCCACAATCAGAAGATGATTTAATGATTGAATGGAATGAACACTTTAGCAACCAACACGTCTAAGGATTGCAGCCTTAGGAAGGTACTCAACTGGGTGTTAAGGGGATGGAGTAGTGTCAAAGTTCAGCGTCATGATGACCTGTAACCCTTCTTCGTTCGGCGAAATGAACTTACCAGTAACCAAGGAATATTGTTTTGGGGTAATCGCGCAGTTATTCCTTTTATGGACAGGCAGGAAATTCTCTCTGCGTTACACGCGCACCACCCGGGAATCGTTAGAATGAAGGCTTTAGCCCGCAGTTACGTCTGGTGGCCCGGTTTGGATGCGGATATCGAAAAGGCGGTAAATCAATGCTTAGCGTGCCAGCATACGCGCAATTCCCCGTCAAGATCGGACGTACATCACTGGGAGTCTGCCAAGAAACCATGGTCCCGCCTACACATTGATTTCGCCGGACCGTTTCAAGGGAATACGTTTTATTAATCGTCGATTCCTTTACGAAGTGGCTTGAAGTTTGCCCTGTGAAATCGACATCCGCGTCCGCAGCAATCACCTTCCTTCGGCAGCTGTTCGCTACTCATGGTAATCCAGATGAAATCGTGTCGGACAACGGAATTGCGTTCACCTCCGAGGAGTTTAAGTTGTTTACGAAAAACAATCGGATCCGTCACATCCGATCCCTTCCACCCTGCAACCAACGGCCAGGCCGAACGAATGGTTCAAACCACGAAGATTTACTTGAAGAAACTAGATCGTCACACGGACATCAACATAGCTTTAGCTCGTTTCTTGTTTGATCAACATACTACGCCGCATTCCGTCACAAAGCATTCGCCAGCAGAGTTGCTTTTCAATAGGGAGCTCCAGACATTCTTTGATAAATTAAGTCCAGGCGAAATATCATACGGTAAGGTCTGCGAGGCCCAAACTCAAAAGTCTTTTGTTACAGGCACTCCCGTTTGGGTCCGAAACTATGCAAGCGGCCCCAAGTGGATTGAGGGCCACGTCTCAAAGCGAACGGGACCGATTTCCTATTTGGTGTGTCTGGAGGACGACAGAACAGTCAGGCGGCATCTGGATCAGCTGCGTTTGCGCAGTCCGTCGCAGCAGCCAACATCAGAAGAGATATCATCTCCAACTGGTCGTGTCCCTCTAACCCCAACTGAAGCGGAAGCTGGCGAACCGACAACTCCAGTGGGACCAGAGCGCTCGCCCGAGCTAATCGAAACTGGCGAACCGCCGCGCAGGTCAGCCCGTGACCGTCGCCGCCCGCAGTTCTACGATCCATCTGGGTGTTAATTTTTTTCACTTGGAAAATGAAAACTTACACGAATAATTTTTTGCATATATTGGAAGAGATGTTTAAAGTAAGAGAAAAACATTTTTTTAAAATTCTAAAAAACAAAATGGCGGACTTATTCAAGGTCGCGTGTGGCTCGACGCGGCTGAGGGACTTATTGCGGTACAGTGTGGAGCCCAAAGTTTTCATTTGAAACATACAAAAAAAATTTTTTATTATTCAGCAAGGTTCCCCCGAGTGCATAAATGTCTGCAACTTCAAAAAATTCGATTTTAAAATATAGAAATCACGTCTTGAAAAAAAAGTGCCATTTTTTCGTCTTTTTTTTTTTTGCTGAATTGGGCTGAAAAGTGTATAAAATAACTTTTTTCACAATTTCAGATATTCATGCACTCACTCAATGTATAGTCTGCAATACACTTTTTAGAAATCAAAAATCGGTTCAGTAGTTTTTTCGTAATCGTGTACCGCGTTTTTAAAATCACAGTTTTGAGAAAAAACTATTTAAACTTATGAGTTAGCACACAAAGCGCGCCCGAGCGCACTCGTTCAATCACTCATATTTTCCATAATATTGAGAGTTGAGTCATAAAACTTCGAGAATATACTCTCAAGACGTTATTCTATCGATCTATGAAAAAAAAAATTGATTTTTTTTTAAATTTTACATGAGAAGCCCCCCTTAAGGGGTGTTATGTATGCAACTGCATTATCTCGCGAAGTGATCTCGCTCCTTGAAGTCAGTCTTCACTAAGTCGCGAGCCGATGCAGATCGAGCTGCAGCCACGGAAAATCATCAGTTTCCAGCACTCATAGACATTCTCTGTACAACTTTCCCTGTGACTATACACTATTATTGTATTATTTAAATAAATTTAATATATGCTTGCGCAAACATAAAAACCGGTGAAGTTGATCCTTGCTGATTCGCCTCGAAGGACCAGAATGTTTGTAGGGGGTGTTTTTTTTCTTTAAATAATTAGATTAAGCACTCGTGGTCGGATGACTTTGCGTGTCGCGGGAAATAAGAAAAAAAACTTGGTAGCTTTTAATATGTAGGGGAAGGTGGGGAATCGTGGGCCACGTTTATATTTTGTTAAATATCTTAACAAATAAAATTTTTTTTCAAAATTGTAATATGGTATGTTATTCTACATTAAATTAGGTAACTTTTGACTATTACACTTTCTTACAATTCTTTTGTTTTTTCCGACTTTTCGTGGTTTTAAAAAAAAAGGTGTTTTGGCGATTTTCAAAAATGGTGGGGAATCGTGGGCCACCCCCGCATTTGAATGAAAATCAAACAATTATGATGCGAAACTTTATTCAATTAGTAGAAATGACAAGTACAGTTATTTTAATCGAGAAAATGGAGAAGGATTATGCACAATCAATCTGATACGCAAATTGGGCACGTAAATGTGTTGGCGGAGGTAGCACATTTTGCATGGAGATCTCGACCACATTCCATGCATGCAACTGAATTGTTCTTGGTCAATTTCTTTGGCATTGACTCCAAACAAAGTATGCAGAAGTCGACATCTTCATCGTCGGAAGAATCACGTCGCGCTGGTTGTGATCTAGTTCTGCGCTTGGGCGCAGGTGTCTTCTTTGCTTCCTCCTCTTTTTTGCGTTTGATTGCAGCCTTCTCACGTAATTCAGTGACAAATTCAGGCGATGTTAAGATAGCACTTCTCATCGGTTTGCGACCACGATTGGACTTTTCAGCTGGTGTTCCTTTTTTCAGTGGGCCAGATTGTCGCAATTTTTGTGAAAGAGAAGCAGAGGAGCTGGTACCTGATGTGCTAGCTCCTGCTGAAGACTCAAGAGTTGTGACTTTTTCATGTACATCACGATTTGTGACCATGATGTCCCTATTTTCTTCACCATTGCCAACGCATTGATCCTCACCACTTAGTTCTGAAGAAATGAAATCAATTTCAGTGAATATATTCGCATTGAATGGGAAAATTCCGCATGATTTAAAACCACTCTTAGTGTTTTTTGGTGTGACTGCAATGTCGAGACATTGGTCAACAATCAGTGGAACGTGGTGAAGATCGTAAAGTACACCGACGTTGGCTCGCTTCCAATCATCGTGCTTCTTTGCGTACACCATTTTTAAAGGACCAAAAACGGAGACATCCAAAGGCTGCATTCTATGCGTACAATGTGGAGGAAAAGATTGTCATGATGTCATGAGCAAGGGCCTTTTCAATGACTTCAATTGACAAATGCGATGCATGATTGTCTACCTAATATTTATTTATTGATTTACAGCCTCCATTTGGCACAAAACATCATAAACACAACATACCAATGTGATTGATAACAAAAAATTTAAAAACACGGGTGGCCCACGATTCCCCACCAAAAGTGGCTCACGATTCCCCACAAGCTACTTTTCGGAAAATAACGGCGTGTAATTGACTTGTTGAAGTGTCATGCAAAATTACTTTTGTATGTTGAAAAGGAAAGGTCTAACGATAATGTGAAACATATTTACCTGTGTTTTGTCGTAGCAATTCGTCCAAAAATGATGGAAATAAAACACACAAAAAAAAGTGTTGCCGATACTTTTTTTGGGCAAGTATTGTGCAAAGCGAATAAAACACGTGCGTTTGTCAACAACCAATGTAAAAATGATTTCAGGTTAAAAGAAAACGATGACAGGTGCATTTCACTATTTATCTCAAAATACTGCCGACAGGTGGCGGTGGCTCACGTTTCCCCATAGGTCAGTTTTTACACAGTGGATGGAAGGACAGGGCGGCAGAGCGGTGTGGAGACTTGGCGCGGACAAATATTATATATTTTTCGATCTTTTCTATGGCAGCTATGTATACCTATGATAGAGCTATCCGATTTTGATCAAATTTAATCCGAAATTCAATAATGGTTAGAAAACGCCATCTTGAAGAAATCAAGTCGATCTGATCAAAAAATCTTTTACAAATGTAAACGAGATAGAAAGAGAGAGACCGATTGAGAGACAGTAAGTCAGGGCGAGCGTAGCATGAAGCAACTAGCGTGAGAATAGGGAGCAAGCAAATGAGAAAGATCGAGCGAGTATCACAAACATAATCGTATCTGGCAATGCTGTATATCGATTGAAAGGTATTGGCATCACCTTTAAAATGACATATAGTTTTACATGCGTTTTTACGTTAAAAAATTACAATCGATTGAAATGGAGTTTACAAACACAGAAATTCGGGAAATTTTGAAATTTTATTTCGCACAGGAAAAAAACTGCCGCGGAATCTCGCAGACAGATTATTGCTGTCTTAGGAGATAACAAACTTTCGATTCAAACCGCCAAACAGTGGTTTAGGCGAAACACCCAAGCCTTCCGGAGTCCTTTTCGGGATCTATTTCATCTTTTACTGCGAGAATGCCAAGGTCCCTGTGGATGTTTTCGTTTCGAATATACCATGGTGCCCCAGTGATAGTTCTCAGGATCTTTGCTTGAGCGCGCTGTATGATGTCTAAGTTAGTTTTGCTCGCGTTTCCCCAGAGCGGGGAGCCATACGTCCAGATTGGTTTAAGAGTGGAGTTGTAGAGCAGTACCTTGTAGTCCAGACACTTGGGCGATCGGGCGTTTATAATCTGGCTGCTGGCTTTTAGTTTTAGATATAGTTTCTTGCATTCGATGTGCCTACGCCATATCAGACGTTTGTCGAGGTGGACGCCGAGATACGTTACTTCATTGACTTGGGGGATCTTTGTGCTATTCAAGTAGATCGGAGGACATGTTTGTCTGTTGAGAGTAAACGTTGCGTGCTTACACTTCTGTTCGTTTATTTTGATACGCCAGTCGGATAGCCACTTCTCTACTACCGTGAGGTGGTTGGCTAATTGGGATGTTGCACGGACTGGGCATCTGGAGCGGCTGAGGATCGCAGTATCGTCAGCGAAGGTTGATGTTAGTAGTCGGTCGCTCGTGGGAATATCCGCTGTGTAAAGGACGAATAGAGTTGGTCCAAGTGCGCTTCCTTGTGGGACTCCAGATTCGATTTTATAGTTTTCGGATGTTGTTGTGTTGCACCTCACTGCGAAGACTCTGTTGTAGAGATACGACTCGAGTAATTTATGAGAGTAATCGTGGGGCGGTGCTTCCAGAAGTCTCACTCCAGTTTTGTTGGGAATAAATAACGCTGGCCGAATTTCGAGCGGCTTGGAGAGCGGAATGGAGACCCTTCACAGTGCGAGAGAGCGAGATGCAAGTGATCCGGAAGAGCGGCTCTCACGACTATTAAGGCGCCAGGGCCGGTTGAAATGGATCTGGAAAGCGCCGCTTTGGCGCGAACATTCTCCCCCCCTTGCGAGGGCGAGCGTTGCAAAGGATTAATGATTAATCCTTAGGCGTGTCTGCATGCTCCAGACACGACCCATCCAAATACCGTGCTCTGTGCGACGGGCATCCCATCGCGTATATTTAGGAACCCGGGCCGGATTACGTCGGGATGTACGTCCGATGGAACTGCTCATCAGCAAGACGGATGTCATCGAATTGGGCTCGCATAGTATCACTAAGCGCGCGGATCGGGGTACGGATGCGTATTATCGTCGAGCAGACTTCTTCGCATCTCACCGTCGTTGTGGGTAACTTAAACGCAGTTGCCAGGGAGCTGTCGATGGTGCTGACAGGAGTGCACGGGTCGATCATGACGGCCGTCTCAAAGGTGGTGTCCCCAGACTCCAGCAGCACGATGGCCGTCGGGAGTATGTGGAGGCTCTGATGCTGCAGTAGAGCCGCTACTGATGGGGTTGCCGCTGAGGTTGGACATCGTACCGGTGTACGTGCTTGCCTGGCCGATGGTGGAGGATACCGGGAGACTGACCTTGACAGCCGAGCGGTCGATACGGGATGTTGCGCGGACGGCGATCGGCGGCGTTGCGGGGAAGGCGATTGGCGGCGTTGCGGGGAAGGCGGCTGACGCCGTGGCTGGATGGGCGGTCGACGCAAACTCCCGGGCATCTCGTGCAGGTGGAGCAG